AAGGAACCAATTTGGAGGGGTCCCCTGAAAAAATGACAAGACCATATGCGTATGTTTCTTTGCCGCTTTGTTCAAGCACTCCATTCTGGAGTTGCAGATGACGATCTCCAATCATATCCGTTCCCCAAGCATCCAGGAGCTATACCGAAAATCCCTGGGGCGTCCACCCGCAGCCTGAATTGCATTGGCCAAACCCTGGTGGACCAACTGCTCATGATTCTGGCAGCTTGTGGAGTGCGATAACACGGGCCATCCCCATGGCTGCATTTTCTTGAAGGGGATGCCCTTGGTATGGCCAGCGGTACAAAGCATGATCCTTGTACGGACACAAACACCTCATATCCAAAACGAACGCAGGACTCCTGGGAACAGGGTTCCAAACAATCCAACCTAACGTCACCTCATCAAAAGGAACTTCCCCAAAGCGTGATGCTGAAGAAACACAACTTTGGGGATACAAGAATTGAACTGAGAGAGCCGCGCCTCCCACCACATTCTTCGCCTGCATCTGCCCAGGCTTGTTTTTGTTCCTCGGTTGCTGGGTTCGTGTCGAAAATACACTGTCGGAGAGTGAAAGGGATTGAGGCCTTACGCCCGTGCGTCCGCGAACCATCTCTCCTGCTGCTTGAACATGCTTCCTGTCAATAGTGAGTTTTGCATATTTACTCCCAAGCAAACTTGTATAAAAACAGGGTGCTTAGGAGGTCTGGAAAACCAGAAATGTCCATTCGGTTGGCAACACTCTGGGCTATTTGCCAGACAGATCACAATGTCAGTGTTGATGTTTGACTCTGATTTCCCTAGCCAAGCTCAAGTCAACCTCCGCTGCATGTGACTACTGACTGGTAACAAGGCCGCTTGACAAGGACAGTAGGACAGTAGCAACAAGGCCCAGTCATGTTGTGTATTTGCTCGATACGAGCTACAGAACCAGCACTATGGTATCTCCCGAAAAGTATTGCAACATCTAGAACACCTGCTTTCGTGATCCAGCGCCGTGTCCAGTTGACTGTTGCAATAAGTTCATGCCACCATCCACGGGGCTTTGGGAATGTTGGATGTGCAGTCACATGGCCGCTGGTGATTGACAATCGCTACTGTGGAAGAAAGCTGGACTGATATGCGAGAGTGCAGGGAAACACTCGGGTAGTAAAGGCTTGCAGTTGACACAGGTCCTTGCAACAGTATCCTGCCCCACAGGAGCATCTTGATGCGCACGTTCGCTTTCCACAACAAGTGCCAGTCCCTGTGACACTGTTGCTCCAGGGATGTAAAGGCAAATTCGTCGAAACCTGCCGTCCACCGGGCATTCATGTCCCAGCCAGGGCTCTTGTGCTTGAGACACGCTCACACAACAGCAATCCCTTCCCAATCGCTGGCAGCGATCTGAGCCACAATCAACACGCGACATGAGTCCCCCCAAAAGATTTGACCCGATTGCACGGGGAATTTGATTGGTTTTTGGGGGGAGTCGGACCGGTCTGTTGCAGGGGATCTGCTGGATTTCTAGAGTGAATTTGATTGAATTTGACAGGCTTCTGGGGGGAATGTGAAGAAAACAAGTGCAAGGAATCAACTGGACGGATATCTGAAAGCATTGTGATCAGGCCTGCTCCCTACTCTCCAAATTAGCTCCCCGGTTTTTCGTGTCCCACGTTCCGCGGTCATGCGGCTGCTCCATGTCAAAGGTGAGAAGATCGCCCTTGGCGGGCTGGCGGTCACCCAAGCAATCCTGGCACGAGAAACCGGGCCCCAAAAAGGCGACGTGACTGACGTGTAAAGCTGAAAGAGAAACATAGGGAACGCTGCTTAAACAACAAGAACCAAGGAACTGCCACATGATTGTGGACAATATCTGGAAAATCACCCTCTGTGTGTGTGTGTGTGATAGGGTGGCTGACTCCCATTGAGGGGAATGCCCTTTGGTATCGAAGAAAGTGGCAACCAAAAACAGCTTTTCTCGCAAACATCAACTGCAAGGCATCGCTGCAAACCCACTTCGTAAAACAACAAAATGCAGTTAGCAAAAGACAGATCTGCCAAAATGTATGTTTTCACATGAGGTGTTGATTTGAAGTGGTCAAAAGGACACTTTGATCAAATGTGGCGAGATCATGTTGCTCCTTCGGCACGTGTGACTCATTTCTATTGACCACGGCTGAAAGCTGATGGATCTCCTCTTCGTAAGTTTGGGGCAGCCTTTTGCACTTGAGCGTGTCCTGGGGAAGAAGTCGGGTTTGGCCTAAAATCGAGGAATGACTTATTTACTGTTTTCCCTTCAACAATTCGTGTAAAAAAAAAAAGAGAACAAGTTCCCACTCCGAGAAACTAACTATTTACAGTTTACCTTGGATTGTGAGGACTCCTTGTAGCGTGGTTGTATCTGCGCTGGCTCTGCGCCAGCAATATCTTGCTGGTTCCAACTGAGCGCCTGAAACCAACTGACTTTTGCTTCTAGCAAGATGAGTTGCAAAGGATTCTGCAGGCCCTGCTATAACTGGCTGGTTCTCAGCAGGGAATTTCGGGAATCCCAAACTAAACCTTCGGTTTCGTTCCCAAAGTCCCCCAACCGATTCCCTATCGGAGGGGCATTTTGTGCGCTACTCAACTGGTCTTGCGCCGCTCACTGCTTGTACATGCCAGAATCATGCGTCGAAGACATGACTTAGCATATACTCAGCCAATTTCTAAGCAGTTGTGTGGTTGTTCGATCAGCAACAGGGAGCCACGGGATAGGTTGCCCATAAGATTGCCCATCACCTGGTTTTTGTATGGAATGATCATGCGGTGATGCACCCACCATGACCGTGACAGAACGGTTGGTGTGCCTGATGTGCTGCCATCCCTGCCCGTGGTCAAACAATAAATCTGAGGAATTGCATACATGCTGGGAGTACTCCCCGGCAAAATGACCCAAAAGTAATGGTCGAACATATCGTGTTTTATGTGGAGAGAGTCCAGGGTCCCTCCCCAGTGGCTGTAGCCCCAAGGCATTCTCTCGACAACCCCTCAGAAAAAAAGGCGATGCCGCCGATGCCTTGATGTGAACGAAAATGTCCATTCCGCCAAAGTCGATGAAGCCCCATCCCTTGGCACCTCAAATCCGGTGCGCGTCGAGCAGGAAAAGCCTTAAACCTGGTCTTGGTGCGAACAGAGCTGAATAGTTTGAAATTGAAAGGAACATGTTCTACATGATGCACATCTTCAAATGTCTGGCCAGTTTGTGGAGTTATTGGCCTCAGGAGCATTGTTTGCTTTGGACTTGGCCAAAGCAAAGATCATCAGATCCTCGTGAGATCTCAGCCACTCCGGCAACAAAAAAGCTCGCCGCTTTGTTGCCAGCAGTTGTTCCTGGCTCAAGACTCCTACATGTGAGCCCTGCATGCGGACCCGCCCCGAGGCGTCAGCACGGCATAGCCTTTCTTGGGAGTTGATTCAAGTCAAAGGTTCAGAGGAACTTGCACCCAAAGGACGGAAACCTTCAGTGAAATCACTCCTCAGCTTTTGCCCAACTAAACATAATATCTCAACGTAATGTGGTCAGATTCTGATTCATTTGTAGTGAAGCTCCAAATATAAATAAATTTCAAAGGAGACCCAAATAATTTGTGTGACATGGCCACTGACCCACTGGACGTGTTGTGGTGGTGCTGGTATGTGTGAGCTGGCGGGTTCTGCGACTCCTCTCTGACGCAACTCGAAGATTTGCTGCCAGGCGACCGTTGAAGGATTTGCACAGACCCTGGAGACTCATTGATGAGAATGTCAAGCAAAGGTCAATCCTTAGATGTCAGGTCACAGCAACTCAGAACACTTACGAGACAACTAGCATAGTGTTGACCCATGCCACAAGGGGCTGGTCCAAAACTCCTTGTTTCGGGCAACCAAGCCAGGATTCCTCCAAGATAGAGGTTTCTCATATCCCAGGTAACGACACAGATCATTGGATAGTGACGTTCAAATCGATAAGTCATGACGCGCCATGGGCGGCAAAATCAGCAACACCCTGCCAAGGCTCCACCAAGGGAAGTGAAGCTCCGCTCCCTAGATGGAAGCTGATGCTGGCAAAATGCCTTGGATCCCTTGCGCAAAAGGTAGCCAAAATTGGTATGCCGAGTTGTCACTTGAAGTGATGGTTGTTGTCTGGAGAATCCTGCCCTTTGCTGCAACAAATCTGTCTGCTCTTGTGAAACCTTGGGCTGTGCCTTCAGCCCCCGAAGCTGCATCGAGCCCGCAGCTGCGAGAGCGGAGTTCATCCATCTGGGTGAATACAATCATTCACTACATCTGGAATAACACTTCCCTGAGACGGAACACTTTGTCATGGGCGAGGGTTGCAAACCACGTTTACCAACGTCTGCAATTTGCCTCAAATCCACGGCCACCTAACTTGCCGTGGTGCCCAACATCAAGAGCCAAGGCTGCTTTCGGCATGGAATTATGTCAATGGCTTGGAAGCTACGCTGTGGTCAGCGTTGCCACCTGCCTTTTCTTGTTTTAGCAGGCACCAAGGTTGCTAAGCAAAATGCCGTGCTCAGTATGTTAACTGAGCAAGGGTGCTTGTATCATGCACCCGACAAACCCGACCATACCGTTAGATTGGAGGAACTACTTCCACCCGGGCTCTCCACAGCCAGTTGGCACCTGAAAGACGGTGGCCAAACTCCCGGGCGAAGGAACTATGCCCTTCCCACTGACAGCGCTCTTGTGCAGGTACGTGGAAAACCACACTGTTCTTCTCTTAATTAGTGGGACTCCTGTCAGAGACGGGACGAGGAGACGAGAGATTGAGTGGGGAGGGTCGGATACAGAACGCCACAGAATCCCCAACCATGACACGCGAAAGCTAGCGCGAGTAGCATCGGACGGTTTCATAAGCCTGCACGCAAACGTCAAACAAACGCTATCACAATGCCTCACTCGCAAATAATCCCTACGCAGCTTCCAGTGTTTGTCCGCTTCTCGGTTCATCAGTGCCGCAAGGAGCCCCCCCCCCCGGCCTCGACTTCATCATCTGCTCCCGCCCAGGCAATCAGTGCTCGGGCCACCATTGCACTGACCTGCGCGTGTCCCATGAGAAAACGGCTTCGAAACATTCGAAAAGCGAGCCCGTTACACCCAAGCTCGAGTATCATGTTCGAATGTATGAGTTGCACCGGTTTATCTGGCTCATCAGCGGCGGTCTATCCGGTCATTCAAACAGCTTCGCTGGCCATGCAAAACGTGAGCACACCAGAGTATGAGCACCAGAGTAGGCAGGGATTATTGTCATGATTCGGTGATGGGCTTCGCGATCTCAGACAAAGCAATATCCTCTAGGCTGGCCACCTGCGTTGCCGTTTGACAGACATGTGAAACTCTCAAAATGTCTGTTCTGACCGTTTCTGGAGGCCAGCATACGACTAATTCTCTTTGGGGAACCGAGTGGAATACCACCTTGTAGGTTAAAGAGAACGTCAAGTGCTCAGTGGGTTACAGCCGTTTGAGTGAGCAGGACCAATCGCAAGTTGCGGGGGAAGCGCATGCGGTTCCCAAATCCTCTCGACCCTTGGCACGGCCGTGACCACCAGGTCGTTTGCAGCCACCAACTAAAACCAAAGAGCTCCACAAACTGAAAACAGACGCTAAGGAGAGTGAAGACAACTGCCAAACACTGGAAGCCACGCACAAACACACACGCGCGTCGAAATGAAAAGAGGCACGGAACTTTTACAGCAACTGCTTTACAAATGAACGAGACTCGCTAAGGTTCAGAATGCGTCACGCGACGGATGCGCCATATGTGGCTCTTGGGCACAGCCACGTGTTCTGTGGAAGCTTGGGTCCAATGCTCCAAGAGACGGCAGGCCACACTTGCTGTTCCAATGGCTTTGTCACCCCACTGTGGACTCCCTTGGCCACTCACGGAAAGCGGCAATCAAAAGCCGAATAGGTATGCATTTTCCTGGAACCACCCGCCATTTTGGAGGGGATCCTCCTTTAAAAGCAACACATCAAAATGATGATGGCCACAACCTAGTGCTCCTCAATCATGGATGTTCGATGCTGCCGAGAGGCGAAAAGTAGGGGCCCGGCTTCTAATGACGGTGTCCCCCTCAAAACCACCCAGCCCCAAATCACCCAAGTTAATGTTCTACATATGGCTGGGTCAAAACCAATGGTACCATTTTGGGGTAGGTGCACAACCCATTTTAGTCTATTTCAGTGGGGATTGGGATGTTCACTGGTACGGGATTTTGACCCATGGCCGTATCCCAATTCTCCTTGTCCCGCCAGATTTCCCCCAATTCCGTTCCCATCCGGCCGGATTGAGCTCGCAGGAGACCACCTTCCCGCCGCCGCCCAGCTGCCTCACGACCGCGAGTGGATGTGCCTCATGATTACCTCCTGAACGGTGTACAGGGAAACCACCCAAGCAAAGAATGCTCACTTTGGTTCGGAGGGGGGGGCCGGCTACAAAAAGACAGGACGTTGACAACGGGAAATCCGTTCAAACGAATACATCCATATAAAAAAATACATGTATATATAATGTGAATATAGCATGTTTGGCCAAACCCCTTGCCCAGCCCCCTCTCCGGCATGCCCCCCCCCCCCTTGCCCCTTCCCAAGTCCAAATCCACTCGTATCAAAGTCGTGCTGAAACGATGATTGCAAACTTGACAGCTGTCCCTGTGAAAAGAGGTCTATCACAATAATAAAAGTATTACTATTGCATTCACAGTTCTAACACAATGTACTATTCCCTGTTTCATTGTGTGCGCGAAATAGGGGCCCGTATAGTGCCCTTGTCTGCTTTCTTGCGGGGGTAAAGGCTCATTTCAAGAGCGGTATTGCGCACTCGTGAAGATCATTATATATTCATGATGATCCTGCATTGCTGTGGAGGGCCCAAGGTAAAATGTGCAGTGAGAAAAAAGTTCCGCGGTTGCTTGTTTAGCAAAACTGAGAACATCAAATACTATCTGGTGCAGCAAGAGGCAACAAAAAGGGAGCAGCTTGCGCAGGGATGCTTGGGGGATTAGCAACCAGGGTCACAAGGGTTTACCAGGGGTACTTGCCACTTGGCCGACTCCAAAACTCCCAAACCACCTAAGCAGTGGTGAGGAGCTGATCGTTTCTGCCCCAGATCTGTTCTGCCCTTGGGCACGTGACCACTCCATGTCGGTGACCGCTATCTCATCACATACCGCATGTTTCTGGGATGAAAATGTTTGGCACCAATCTTGCAGATATGTTGGCCGCATAACATGAGAACCAACTGTATGATCTGGATGAGTACTCGTCGCCAGCTTGCATCATAAGGCTACTCTTGTCAAGGAAAAGAAAGCGGGATCATTGGTTCTGCCAACAGGTGTGTGATGAATCAGCAGGAGCCTGCAAATTTCGGAGCCGTTTCAGCGGCAGTTCCATCGTAGCCCGCGCAAATCCAATCAAACCCAAAGGAGTCTTGTGGCTGAATACCATGCCCAAGGCCAGTGTACCATGAAGTGTACAGCCTATGAAGGTTGAAGCAACGAATTTGCAGAAGCAAAGCAGCACCCAGCCAGCTAACCTAAGCTGCAGAGACTCAGGCGGCATCTAGTAAGAGTACTGAACCTCGGATTTTCGGCCCAAATTGCATGTTTGTCTGTTGTGCGAAAAGCTGGTGCGCAGATTTTCCTGGCAGTGCCATGGAGCACCCTCACCAGGGCGGCGATTGCAAGAAACAAACTCAAGAGCGAAGGCAAATGATTCCTGCAATGCGATGCTGGCGCCTCAGCCTTTGTGCCGCGAGCAGGGCGGAGAAGCCAACAAAGCACCCCAGCCTCGGTGTTTTCTGACGCTCCTAGCATGACTGACGCCAGGTCTCAGGTCTGAGGTAGGCAGTCCTTTGTGAGGAAGCCGCAGAGTCAAATGACCAACAGGGTCTGAACAAGATGCTTCAAGATAGCTGTTGGCAGTGCTCAAAGAGTGCCATTTGCAGCTGATTAATGCAAGGGCATTCGACTTAGAGTTTTGTTTTGACGGCAACAAAGAATTGTTCACACCTCAGAATGCCGCCATGTATTGTCTTGCAAAAGTACTGATTTCCAATCAACATGATTGGAGTCGGGCTCTGTCAGACATGTGAGATTCTATTGTTTCTATTGGCTCTACGTTCACCTGACAAACTGCCCCTCAGTTGTATCTTGCTTCTACCCCAATTACAGTTCCCCTCCGGCAAATTGACATGGACATCAAACGGTGCCCCTTGCCCCATCCCCCATTCCCACCCACCCTACCTACCCCACCCACACCACCCCCCTACCCACTCCACCCAGCCCCGGGAATCCCTGGGCTCCGGCTCCAGCACCGCATCCCCCGGCCGCAGCACCGCGCGCAGCACCGAGGCCTTGGCGCCGGCCGCCAGCTTCAGCCACTCCTCGAACCGCTTGGATTTTTGTCTCCAACCGGAAAGGTGAAAGAAACCGGAAACCCACCATGGGGGTTGAAACCACAAGGACATCAACGCGCGTTCCCAATTTCGAGTGACCCGAAAGGAAACCACTTTGGAGAGGTATGTTTGAAAAAAAAAGGTGAAGCAAACCAATCTTGAAAACCAAAAAGCAACCCAAAAGCAAACCATGAGGGTTCCCAATTTCGAGACAACGACCCCAGGCAAAAGGGGAAGGGTCTTCTCTGCACGAAAAATGGGACTATCCCTGGGCTGCCGTCATCCGAGGATTCGCTCCGGCATTCCCACTCTAGGACAGTGACGATGCCTTGTGCAAGGCGTGCCCTTTACCCACATCCTCTTCTCTTGGGTGATGCCTGGTACAGAACAAAAATGTGTGCCAAGGCCTTCCAAGATGCTTTCAACATGTTGTTTCTATGGCAACCGACAAATCATAGTCGTAGAATGTCCACGGAAAAAAACGGCCCGCCCAGTACTGCCCAGTGGTTGCAAGCGTAGCAGCTGGCGTAGCGATCCGAACTACCAATACAGGCGGAGTCAACTCAATTTCTCTGTTTACATTGTTCGCCTAAAGCGCCTCACGGAAAGGAGAAAAGGCCGCAGTTGCCAGGTGACTTTTGAGGGCCCCAGGACCCCCACCCCAGCCCGCACCCTACCCCAGGCCTTCCGCGCAAAGTGTCGGACCTCATTCAGCACCGCGTGCAGTTGTCCGCGAGGCGCCCGGCGCTGCACGAAGTCGAGCAGTGTTAGCTCCTCAGAACTTGAAGCCAGGGCTTGCGCTCACAAGTCGGGAGGGGGGGGGAGGTACTCAGAAACACTAAAAACTACTGACACAGAATGCAGGAGTTCGTCCGAGCTATTTCGGGAGCCCTTCAGCCATTGGGGAGGGCTGGTTTGGTTTTGTGCTGGAAGCATGGATGGCGGTTCGGTTGGGCGGGCTTGAGGGGAGCTGAGTTGGTGGTTTTTCAAGGAATTTCCCCTGAAAGGTTCCGAAAAGAACAGTGGCACTCCGGACCTGAGCTGGGGTTCCCGAGTTTCTTGCTCCAAAGCTTGGTGGCTGTTGGTTGAAGCCAGCCATGGGTTCCTCAAAACAGAGACACACATCCATAAAAAGGAAACCCCTGGCCCCGGAAAGACCTGAGCAAATATTCCACCCGGAGCCTACGCGAAAACTGCAGAACAAACGGAAGGAAGGCAAAAGAAGCTAACTCCGTGATACTTGGCAAACAGCGTTGAACCATGATTTGTTCAAACGCCTACGCGAAAAGCCTGCGTGAGGGTTCCCCCAACCAGGATTGCCTCCGCAAAGTACATGCAGTTCCCTTTTTGTATAAACCCTTTCATTTGATTAAAAACCGCTGCTCATATATATATATATATGTACGTGATATGTATGTGATTATGTGTGTATGTGACAAATACTAAGAGCAGACTCAATCCTTCGGCAGCATATCTCCGGCCCTCGGAATCCTTGCGGCCTGAGCTGGAGGCAAAGGTGCGGAGCTCCGGGGTGAGGCCAGCCACCTGAAGCTTATTGAAGCGGCGGCGTTTTGGTTGGGACCCTTTCTTTGAGTTGTTTTGGTTTCCCAAATTCCCAAAGGAAACCAAACGGACATCAAATACAGAAAGCAAACTTGGTGAGCAGGTCTGCAGGTTGAATTTGGCGATCCGCATGCAGGGTTGGATCACTGGACCTCGCCATCAATCTAAACCGAAAGCCATCTGCAGTCCCGCCCCCAGCCCCAGCCAAGCACCATATGACACCCGCCGCAAGAGCAGGCCAATCTGAGGCCGACAAAGCCAAGGAGCCTCCAAGGCCCAAGCCGTGCTGGCAGACACCTCACTGCCGCGGAGCCCGTTGCTATTCCAGTGGTGTAAGGCCTGGCACAAGCGAACAGGGCCAGTGCCCGAAGTCGCAAGCTAGACGCATGGGTTCACCTCCTTGCCAAAGGAGCGCTCAGAAGGCTCCCTAGCAGAGCCACGTTTTATACCACATGTAAATATACAATTTTGGCGCGAAGTCGGAAGGCTACTGCTGTCAGCCTCAATAGTCTCGACTTCAAGCAAGCACCCCACGAGAAAATAGACGCACGTGGGCCCTGGTGGTGGAGCCTTCGACTTTTAGTCAGGGTGCAGCTACAGCAAGTCTGCGAGATTCAGAGACACATTCAGCACACCTCTCGAAAACATGCCATTGATGCCACAAACGCACGAGTGAAGCCCTTGCTGCATGCGGTACTGGCATCTTCATGTTGAAGGCTTTCTTGTCATGTGCAATGCAGTGTCAAGCTCACAGGGTAAAGTATCTGCATCGCACATTCCGAATGCAACACATGTCATCCGAACGAGCATGATTGAACACCGGCAAAGCATGAAGCCTCCAACTCCACAACAGCAACACTTGGCCAACCCTATGACCATCAAACCCACCGAGCCACCGACCAACTCGAACAATCTGGTTGAACTATAGCTTTTCACCAACCTGAAATTAAGAAACAAACCAAAGAAAAACAACAACAAACAACAAAAAACGTGAAAACTAAGGGCAGTCCAACATCAAGCCACAAATCATCCCAACCAATTAATTCTCTCCCCCAAACTCCCCCCCCCCCCCCGGTTCTTTTTGCCCTCGGTTGTCGCCTGCTCCCAGGCCCTCGCATGGCCCATGGCCCGCACCAGGCAGCTCTGGCCGCCCAAAGTCGGCCGCACCAGGCAGCTGGAAAGCAGCGCCAGGCTGCGCTCCCAAAGGTGCCACCTGGCGCGCTTGCGCCTGGAAAGCCATTTCTTCGAGGTCAAAGAAAAAAGACAAACAAAAAAAACGTGTCTTCAAAAGGTGGAACACCTCTTCAAGCCATGGTGGTGTGGATGTCACTATGGACCCAGCCGGTTCCCTTGCGCAGTTGGCAAGGGCCCCGGATCTTGGAAGGGATTTGGGATTTTGATGCTATTTGGGGCGCCTGCACGTCATCTCTGAGCCAACACTAATTAGACTACCAAGAATGTTGCCAGTTGCTCCCATCTGCAACCAGGCTGATGACTGATTCATCTGTAAGCTAACACATTGAAATCCATTCAGTTTCAATCTGACCAAAAAGGGTGGGGTGTGGGCGGGCGACTCAGCCTGCTCCCGTAAAGCAGCAGTCAACTTGTATATATATATATATATGTTTATATATACTTTTTTGAACCCCTGTGAATGGGATAAACCAAGGCTTTCATCATCAGCACAAGGGCGTAAAGAATAATCGAATCAGCTTGGGGACTTTATAACCAAGCCAAATACTGATAGAATCAAACCACAAAACTGAAATTATGTTTATTCACTTCCAGAATATTACCTACATATCCAATGATAGCCTGACTGTTTGACTATTGCATCCTTGCAAGTTTTGCCACTTGTATTATTTTGGTCACTGCCGAAACGGTGGTGACGCGTGAAGTCACGAAACGAATCGAAGGCTGTTCAGGCCTGGCACAGGCGGTGGCCACCGAAGAGTAGCTCACCTCGTCTGGACGAATGCCTGGCTCGAAAAGGCGGTTTCGTCCCTGTAGCAAATGACCGCGGTCAGCGCACAATACCCATAATATATATATATATATATGTAGTTATATGTGTAGCACGTATTCATCATGAACGTGTGTGTTGTATATACAAATATGCTTACACAAAGTGCATGTATATGTATACTGTAAATATGTACAATTGTGTGTGTGTGGTGGAGATATGTGTAGATATGGCTGTATATTGATGTATACTCATTGCAAGCTGGAACCTGCTAGCTTAAACGGCTGGCCCGAAAGTGGATAGTCCCCCATACCCATAGTAAAAACGACAATCAAAGGTAAATTCAGCCACTCAGGAGCTCGTACCAGGGGTTCGTGTTGTAGTTAGACTTTGCAAATCATACATGACTATTTCTTGAAGGTTCATTGGAAGCCACCCACTTTGGGGGGTCCATATCCAAATTTGGACCTTGACTACTCCCGGCAAGTTACTACAATTCACAACTTCACTGACCTGAAACAAGGTCTCCTCAAGATTGTCCACTTGAGGCAGGGCTTTCTTCGTGGCTCATGCTAACCCACTGAAAGGGGACTTGCAAACGGAGGCTCTCAAAATGTGGGACCACAAAAATGCCTGTTGCCTTGGTGTCCTTTCGGCTTCCCATTTAACGCACACCCCAAGCTCCGCCACGTTGGTCTCTGACCACTTCCTCTGGACCGACTCGACCTCTCGCCTCCGCTGTCCAGCAGCTCGCAGGCCCGGTGCCACTGGCTGGCGCGCTCCAAGGCCGTCAGCGTGGCGTTGAAGGTCACCACGTTTCTGGACCCAGCGACAGACGCACGGGACGTGTCCCAGACGACAACCCGCACTTGGAGTGCTGATCCCCCTGGACATGTGCTTTTTTTAACGATCTTCTGGGCTGCTCAAAATGGAAGGGTTGGCCAATCCGAAACAGTCGAACAGGCGACTGTAGCGACCAGCTTTTGAATGGACATGGAAGGCAGCAAAACATCTGCAGGGTGTGGAGCAATCCGAACTAAGACAACCCCCAGGAACCGGATCATGGAGCCCCTTGCACATTTCGGTAGCGCGAATGAACATTTTTCCGGTTGGGAGACTTTAAGAGAAAAAGTTACATTTCTGGCGTCATCCTTGGTCAAATTTGCGTGGCAGTTGAGTTGAGGATCAAAGTCAACAAGCATGTGCTGAGCTCTAAGTTGTCAGCTTCACAAATTCCACTTTCAACGCTCAAAAAGTCAGGTGCTGAGTGAAACCAAGTCTCCCCATCTCTGCATTCTGCGCCTCCTCCCACAAGCACAGTGCCCGGCCCCAGCCGCTTTCGGAATCCGCCGAATTTGCCAGCGCCGTGATGGCGGAGCTGAAGGTGAAGGAGTTGGCCAAACCCAGGGACTGAGCCTCCTCCAGCAAGCTCAGGACCTAAGCGACCCACTCAAGGAGTGGCACAGGGCAAAGCGCGTTCAAACACGGAGGTTGGCCCCCATTTGCCCCGAGACGAAACAACGTGAAGTTGCAACTCTTGCGAAACCTGCATGCCCTCCTTCAGGTCTCCCTCTAAAGCCTGGGGCTGAACACTCGAAGGCAGAGTAGCAGGCACCACAGAAACCCATAAGCACTTGTCTGCGGGTGCTGTTTGAGGGGAGTCCATCAACATTCTGAAACACTTAATGACCGTCCTGGTCTCCCGTGGCGTCTGACCGTGGGCAAAAGCGCTCAAGGAGGCAGGCCCTATGGTGACGACTCAAGAACACACTTGTGTTTGATGTTTTTTTGGGGGGGCTGCAGTGTCAGACCCGGAGGATTGCTGGTGTTCTCCCCTTACGAAATCAGTCACCCTTGTGGATTGACCAGGACTTGTTGCTGGCATCCTAATGAGTTCGAGGGGTCCTGCCCCAAAAAACGGACTTCCTCTGACTAGATCTGGGCTACCTTGTGTGAAGTCAACATCACTGGCCAGGCTGCGTGGACGCGGGTGTGTCTTAAAAAGGGGAACCCCAAAAAGGGTGGTGTCCCTTTGGTTCCCTTTAAAGCAACCCCTAAAGGATACCAACAGTCTCCCAGCACAGCGCGGCATGCTGGAGCAAGAAGACCTCCATGGTGACCATGGAACAAAACATGGCATCGAGCAATAGCAGGAGGGCCGGGTCCGCCAAAACCGCTCAGGAACCTTCACTAACTTGCAAATGACAAGCGCTGTCTACAAACATTCAGACAGGGCACCCTGTAAAACCAGGACATTCCGGGGTGTGGATGGGAGGGCTTGATGAAGGTGACACGGAAACTGCAGGAACTATGATATGTCTTGAAAAGGGCTCAAGACAAGCCGCACTTCCCATCCGGCCTTGTCCCACTGTGACGCCCGGCTGCACGCGCTCATGGCAGAGCCGAAGGAAAAGGCATTGGGCGCCAAGCACTCCTCCGACTCGACTCGACTGCCATAGGGGCACGGTTTTGGGAGTCAGCCCACCGATCGTTTTTGGATTCCCATAAACCAAAGGGCAAATGGAAACATATTGGTTGGAAGAACAGGGTGCCAGGGTGAATTCAGACTCATGGACCTTCGGCACTGCTCCTGGTTTGTGGAAATACCGAGTCGGCGAATATGCCTCCCGAAAATGACCATGAACTGCTGGACAACTTGACCCAGCCTTCTGTCATGAAGATCATCACGCAAAAACAGACACACCACACACACACACACACACGTCCCGCAAGCTATGTACGATCAAAGCACCGCGGCAGCACCATGGGCATTGAGCAGAGCAAGTGGGCAATCTAAGACTCGATTACTGCAATGTCACAACTTGTTTACTTGACCTGGTGTTGGACTGGGTCGGACTATGGACTCATTTCACAGCAAGGTGGAGCAAATCAAAAGGGGGCCACCCTCCGGTTTGCAGAAAGCGCAGCTTCAAGACAAAAGCTTGCCTCTTCGACACTGGAGATTGGGATGCAACAGCATGCCATTTAAGCACGGTGGGTCTGTTTATGTGCACTCAAACGTTGTCTGAAATCAACTAGAGGAAAATGAAGAACTGAATGAGCCCCGCAACACAGCAAAGGCCTGGTGCTTGTTTCGGACTTCTTCTGGACTCGTTTGAGTTGACTGCTCCATGTTGCCCCCCCCAATTTAACATGACTTTCAAAGCGAAGGCGAAGTCAGGCCAGAAGCTGCTGGGGCATGTGCCATCTTTTGGAGCGGTCTCACTCTTGCCGCAGCTTGGCTTCGCAACTGACTGGGACCAAGCCCCGGAAAGAGAATGAATGCGGAAGGCCAACAAGCAAACAAGCAACAACAAAAAAGACAACATGACAACAATAAAACAAACCAACAAACACAACACAAAATAACACGAACCGAATTAACAACAAACAAAGCAATACAAAACAACACGAAACAACACAACACACAACAAAACAACACAACACAACACAACACAACACAACACAACACACAACGCAACACAACGCAACAAAACAAAACGCAACGAAACGCAACGAACCAACCAGCCAGCCAGCCAGCCAGCCAGCCAAACAGCATCATCTAAATATCTGACAAGTGTATAGAGCGGCTGACCCCTATTCTTCTTGCTGGGACTGCCCCCAACTAACCTTCCTTCAGCCAGGCTTTGGCTCACATGACATGGCGTCCATCCGCAAATACCCGCACCCAGCCTCCCCACCCCCTGGCCACCCCCCGGCCTCGCGCACCGCCTGCAGCGAGAGGTGCAGCGCGCGGCGCCACTGGGCCGCAGCGCTGCAGGCGCTGCCCAGGGCGCACCAGAGCACCAGGTCCGGCGCAAGGCCCTCCGACCGCAGCTCCTACCATCGAAGCAGTTTTCGCCACATGCCGCACGTGGTACTTGTGAGTTTCCTTGGATAGGTGCACTGCCAATGTTTGGGACAGGTTGAGCTGGGGGTGTAAACCACATGACCCAACAGCGTTGGCATGGCCCGGTATACCCAAGATTCCATTTGTTGGTTGCCCCGAATGGTAATTAGACCAAAACTCAGGATGGGTTGATACCAACCAACGGCTTCGGGGCAATCAACAAATGGAACCCTAGTTGTGCCAGAGGTTTCGCGCAGTGTGAACCTAGTAGGCTCCGGCAACCCGTTGAACCCTCCGCCAAGGTGGTTGAATAGACAAAACCACCAATATGGGGATCCACAGAAAGGCATCCAATCTTCTAGAGGAAAGGGCAACTCACAAGCATAGCCTTCCCGGTGGTTCAATTCATTTCTTCGGTAACCAAGGAACCCACACTTTTAAGATATGAAAAAAGGGCGGTTGCCTACTATATAGCTGGGAGCTGGGATGCACCTGGCCAGTCTAGAAGATTCGCATGCCTTGAGTGCTTGGCAAACCCATGACATGAGCCTCTCTGCAGCTTGCATGGCAGGTCTAGCCCAAGGAAGTGTCGGCGTTAGCCCCTTTTTTGGAAGGCCAGTATATCCGCCGAATCCCTGACAGAGGTGCCTTTCTTAAACACCAAAAGAAGGAAGCCAGAACGTTGCAGAAGGAACCCAAAGCAAGTAAGCTGGCGTATGCCTTTGCTTGCACAGCTGCCAGATGATACCAAAATCTCAAGCGAATAATGTGGAAGTATCTTAAATTTGCCCCAAAATAACTGGAGGTGATTTGGTCTTGGTGTTCTGGCTCGCAAGCGTGAGAGATCTGGACGGCAGTAGACTTGCGTCAGAGTCTTGTCCAGACTTGTCTTTGGAGACCCAAACAAGAGGTCCAGGAGATGCCCCTCCGGCTTCCCTTCAAACAAACCCCAATGGGGTATCCTCAAAATGACATAGTTCACGTTTAGAAAGCAGCAGGACGTATGGTCCACCCACATTTGTGGGGGGGGGGGGGGGGCGGGGGGATGCTGGCTTGAGAAGCTGTGCTTTCATATGCAGTGTGTCTATAAGGCGACCGCCCTCCGTGCACACTCAACCTACCCTAAGAGGAAAATCACGCACGTGTACGATCTGTCAACTCTAGGGGGACGCGTCAGACCCAGATAAAAATGTGGCTGGCCTCCTGCAAGCTGAATCCATCAGCATCCCCAAAAATGTAGGATTTTCAGTTCGCTTCAAACCTTACCTCTAAATAGGGGTACCCTCAAAAAGGCAAAAACCCATCGTCAATTGTCACACCTCTGATACAACAACGAAACCGAAATCTCAGCATCGCAACTTCCTGAGATTTGCGGTCTTTTTTGGGGCTCCAGGCGCTACCTTCAGCACTGCCAGCGCAGCCTTCCAGGCGCTGCCTCCGTGCAAGAAGAGACTCAAGCCCAGCAAGATCTCAGGGAACTTCTGTGAACTTGCCTTCCCAGTTCTCCATGTACCAAGCATGCTGGAATACATCAAATTTTGATTCTACGAGTACCTATGGCCTAGCGCAAAGAATCGAGCAATTCTGGTTGAAATAACATAGAAATTACCTTGTACAAACCACAACCGTAGTTAACAGGTTCATACTTCATCTCACCTGAATGTTCCCTACATGTCTCCTGTTGGCCAGCTCAACATACACCCTGCGGCATCTTGGTTGATGTCCAAAATAAGACCCTCTAACACAGGAGACCCTCTAAAATGGACGGTGTCCTTTCAGCTTCCATCCACAACGAGGGTCACCTTTCTCAGGAAAATATAAGGAACCCTTTCTGGGCTGCGCAGGGCCCGTATCTCGAACACTGCTGACAGTGCCTCTTAACCTCTTGGCTATGGCTTTCTTTCCCTTTTCCATTGCAGGCGCAGGAGTTTCGAGGGGGAGCAATCATCAAAGTCAAACGACGCCGAACTGTACCTAACAGCCGGCTCCTCGATTGTCCATTGCTTTTCCTGCGCGCCGTCTGCAAAGCGTACCCTCCTAAGAAAGGCGATGACTCGATGTTTGTTCTTAGCAACTCCAACAAGGTGCCCTGTGCCAGCGGGGTGTCCTGTGAAACAAACAGAAATCCTGGTAAGTCAATGGAAACCCAACTTTTGGTTAGGGTTCTCAAACACAGCTACCCGGAGGGGCCTCCTTTTGCAAGGCCGTTAGCGGCCTCTGGCGCACACGTCCGCCGCCGCGGTGAACGCCACCAGATCTCGTTCCTCGCCCTTTCGGGCGGCCGCAGAGAGGAGCGCCAGCGCTTTAGGCCAGGCACCCTGAAGATCGAGGGGGTGACAGGGCGGCTGGGGTGGGGGTGGCATCTGTATATGGCCATGGGCTAAAATCCCGCACCCCCAATGAACATCCAAATCCCCACTAAAATAGACTAAAATGGGTGACAGAATGGTACCATTGAATTGACTCACACCCATGTGTGTGTGTGTGTGTGGGTGCGTGCGTGCGTGCGTGCGTGCATGCGTGCGTGCGTGCGCGCGTGCGCGCGCGCGCGCGTGCGGGCGTGCGTGCGTGCTTGCGTGGGTGGGTGTGTGGGTGTGTGGGTGTGTGGGTGTGTGGGTGTGTGGGTGTGTGGGTGTGTGGGTGTGTGGGTGTGTGGGTGTGTGGGGGTGTGGGTGTGTGGGGGTGTGGGTGTGTGGGTGTGTGGGGGTGTGGGTGTGGGTGTGGGGGTGGGTGTGGGTGGGTGTGGGTGGGTGTGGGTGTGTGTGGGTGTGTGTGTGTGTGTGTGGTGTGTGTGTGTGTGGTGTGTGTGTGTGTTGGTGTGTGTGTGTGTGGTGCGCGTGCGCGTGCGCGTGCGCGTGCGCGTGCGCGTGCGCGTGCGCGTGCGCGTGTGCGTGTGCGTGTGCGTGCGCGTGCGCGTGCGTGTGCGTGTGCGTGTGCGTGTGCGTGTGGGAGTGGGTGTGCGTGTGGGTGTGGGTGTGGGTGTGGGTGTGGGTGTGCGTGTGCGTGTGTGTGGGTGTGGGTGTGGGTGTGTGTGTGTGTGCACGTGTCTTTGGAGTCAGCACCCCAATCTCACCTTGGCTGAAAGCGATCCCAAAAGGAAACCCAGCCCAAGTTTTGGGAGTCACTACTAAACATTGTGAACTGAACCTCGTGATCTTTTTTCCACGGGTTTGCTTTGAACAGGTGGCCACCGAGGCTAAGCCTCGCAGGTCTCTGCCTTCTGCTTCTGGCGCTTGATGGCTGCGGTCAGCCGCTGCAAGTTGGATGCTACAGTCTCCTGGCGGAACCCGTCCTGCAAAACGAGCGAGGAACCAACGGTCTGCCCAAGCGCCGCGGTACCACGGAACGAAACTTCCTTTGATTTCTGATCAAAACGAATATAGGCCAAATTAAGGAGTCTTTGCTCGTCGTCGAATGGGAGCCAATTGCAGAAAGCCAGGGTGTGAAGAGGAGCCTAATCCATAGGGTCGGGAAACTTTCAGGGTCTTTCCTCCAGGCTCCATTGGAGTGAGCTGCAGGTCTGACAGCTTCATCAGAAAAACAAGAGCAAGTGTCTTTGGAAAAAAATAGATGGCACTGCAAATGATTCGAAGCAAACAGAAACCAGGTCCCTTCCCGTCAAATAGTTGTTTGTGTAACCCTTGAATTATTTGGGGGGGCCTATTGCACAGCCATGGGCCTGAAAAAAAAAAACTCCGCTCCTCGCACCGCCCTCCGCCGGCCCGCGTCCCGCGCTTCTTGGCGGCCGAGAACCGCGCCAGAGCTGCGCGAAGGGCCATGCCGCCATGGCTCCCTCGCCTCCCTCGCCCGCGTGCGGGCTGGCTTCAGTCAGCTCCCACCAGAACTCGCAGAAGTAGGGAGCCCGAGCGGGAGCCCGACGCGTTGCAATGAAACAGCCCGTGCATGAGTGATGCGACCCCCTGGACTGGATCGCGGCAAGGTGTTACAAGGGTACATTCCACTGGATCATGCCAACAAAACAAGCACTGCCAACACAAAGGAAAATCAGCGAATAGAAACAAGCTCAGCCCGCCATGATGTTCCGTCGCAGGGCAAACACTTCACCGGTCCATAAATCATGTCCGGTGACACGGTGACATGGTTTCCACCCGGATCGGCAGTCACCGTCTCGAGGAATCTCGAGGATAGGGCCTGAAAAGTACTGCGACATCCCATGCAAGTTCGATCAGTCAAACAAGCCAATAGGTACTTGTGACTTACTTGCAACGTTAAGCAGGTCAACTACATTCAAGACAAGAACAACACACACCTGGCAAATCTGAAGCAAAAGGCAGCTGAGAACGCATGTGGGTACAACTAATTGGTCCCCCCCTGTGATAGTACATTATGTTGTGTCCTCACATGCGCAAGGTGTGAGCCTGCCATTAATACATACAACTTACATTCAAAGTGCTTGATCCACGTCACATTATCTTGTCCGCTGAGTTTCCGGGCAACCAGGAAAGGCTGCTCAGCGCAGATGATTTGGGGGGTGAATAGCCAAACAAGCACGAGCAACTCGAGGCTTGCCGACACAATCTTTCAAGACGCGAAACACCTCTCAAACAAACATGCGTCGCATACACAGGCCCTTCGAAACGATGGCCTGCCTGTACACACAAAACTAAATCAGCATGTGGGTCCCTTGGCACACCGACTTGGCTGTCGAGAGGCAAATGCTGAGTTCCTTCGCGGTTACTAAAGAGGTCCCCTTTCTGGTGATTTCCCATGATTGGCCGACACTCAATTTTGAACAGCCTGACAAGCAAATCACACAATTGGAGCCACTGAGTCATCTGCTTCCAGCATCGCAACCTCGGCGAGCATGCGACCGGATTCAGAAAGCAACACGCCCAGCGCCCGATGCACTGCACCGACGGGGAGCATCAGGGTGAGGTGTTGGCTACTTGTTGCGTGAGGCATGTCATGCGACGCCACCATCCTACAGGAAAATCAAGTCAAACATCTTGACGAGGGTGAGACACCTTTAAGTGGTTCACCATCGCCAGCAATGGGATTCAGGAACCTTGTGGCTTTATTTTGTGGGGTGGTTGACCCCCAAAAATAAAGGATTTCCACTTGAATGGGTTGCACCCCCCTGCTAGAAAGGGTTTATGAATATTAAGTTCTCATGTTCATTTGGTGCGTCTTCTTTCAGGTACACTGTTCGGGGCTTGCAAGGGAGGCCACCAGGTTATATCGCAGCCATTTTGAAAGTCCTGGATTAAATATGAAGGGCTCCGGATTCTGAACAACACAGACCTCGGGTCCAGGCGAGAACATGAGCTCAAAGAAAAGAGCTGCGGGGCAAGGGGCTAACCACCCAAATCAAGACCAAGATATCAGCACGGGCTGACTGTTGGCACAGGAAACAAACCGAAGTGCGGCCTTGAATGTCTGTCCTATTCTTCGGAATTGGCCTTGAAGGCGGGTGGATTTAATGATGGTCAAACTGCAGAGGGTCGCTGCTTGTGGCTACATGCTGTTTATCGAGACCTGGAAGGCCAATCCATAGAACTACAAAGAGAAGCATTATTGTAAGAAGTACTAGCAATAGCCAGTATAGAATCCATGTTTCTTTGATTTTGGGGGAGAGAAAGGCATTTTTGCTCAGCAGTGTCTTGGTGGGCGCCGAAAAGCGCCGCTTTGCCAAACCTTGCGGGTGCCTGATGTCACTTTCCTGGCCCTGGTCCAAACACTGCCATCCCCAGCCCAAACATGCAGACTGACCGGATACGGTTCGTCTGTGCAGTCGAGCCCCTTTGGCACGAGTCCCAAACAACCGTCAGATCGGACAAACAAGACACAACAAACACATACCCACACAGCTGAGATCTGAGGGGAGTGTCCCACATAAGTCAAACACCCTCAGCAAAGCAGATGACTGGCGTGCATTTTCGAGCAAAGGGACACCCCCAAATCATTATCGTTGCTTTTCCACGGCTTCCCAATTGCAGAAAGAGTCCCTCAAAGGCCACCCAGACATTGGATACCTGTCCGCCCGCACCTGCTCTTGCAATCGCCGAAGCTCCGCCTGCATGCGACACGGCAACGCCACGCCGTGTGCCGGTGGACCTGGAGCCTTACGTCAAAGGCCAGTCATGCAAACAATACAAGTGCATACATGGAGGAGACATGCCTAGAGTGACGTGTTTTTTTCATGCTTTGCTGTTTCAATTGTGTAGAGGAAATCCAGGGGCGATCATTGTCCTTTGGGGGCCTGATTTTGAGATGGACCGAAAAGGGTCATTGTCACTTTGATCGGGAACCGCTTTGAGAGATGTCAAAAGCAACAGGGCCTGTCACATACGCGGCACTTACGCCCTTTGCGCCCGAGACTTGCTGACTCGCCGCGCCTTTGTGCCTTCTTCCAGCGCCTGCCACGGCAAAACACAATGCAACGCAATACTCTGCGTGCCAAACGGAAAAAATGCATGAATCTTGAATAAGAAGTGGCCCACAGGAAAGAAACATTCATTGCGGGCGAAATTGGTCGCAAGCCCAGGCTAGATAAGGTCGCCACATGTTGCCAAAAATGTTTGATGACCCACCAAAGGCAGAGCTGCTTGCAACTGGACGGCATGCTTAGCCAACAGGACTTGCTACTCAACAAATCCAATCCCACTTTGGAAGCCAAAAGGAGGAGGTGGGTTTGGCTCTGGGCAGTTTGCGAAGCGCCACCCTCGGAAAGGGCGAGGATCTTGTGGTCTGGAGTCTGCACACTCTGGATTTGAGGCTTGAGGGATGTCGCTGCAATGACGCCCATTGGCATACTGCTATGTGAGGGCGGTACCTCATTTGCAGCTACCAAGACGAAGAACGAAAGCAGCACTTGTCCTGTCAAAGTTAGATGATTCTGCAACTTGTGAACCCAACAAAATACCCAGCCCCACAGTGCAAGGACAGCACTGAAGCCAATTGGCGCAAACTGGGGCAGCACGCTTCCTCCCACCTTGATGACTCCCAACATCTTGCAGGGCGTCCTAAAAGGGCAAAATAGAGCCGGACCCTCGTTTCTGGAAGAAACCCTGGACCCCCCCAAAGCGAGGGCCTGCTGAAACTTCTCCGCTGCTTCGTCCTCCGCCCTGCCAGCAACGATGCGCGGCTGGTGAGGGGCTGGATGTGGACAACGAAGGCGGGTTTGAGGGCACGATGACATGGGGGCTGCTTTTGTTGACGGGCAATCGCCCTTTCAGGGCCGGCAAAGGGAGAATTAGTTCAAGGAAACAAATTATTGTTGGAGGGTTTCCTCATGCAAGCCACGTACCTAGCTGGCGCTTGGAAACCTCCCAAGCTGGCTTGTGTGCGGATGGCCACTGAAAGGTCCTCGGCTCGTGCAGCGAAAACGAGGCTGGTGGTGTCAAGTGCCAAGTTAAGGAGGTCTGTTGACGACAAAACACCAATGGTCTGACATTGCACAACCGACAAGCCGGACGAAGCGAGAACACCTGTATGATCGCAGTCGCAAACCAGCTGACAGAATTCGCAACAAGTGCCTCCTAGATCAGGAAATTGGAGATTCGCACATGCGTTGCGCATGGCCCTGATATACCACTAACAACATGTTTAATCTTTGAGGGAGGACGTCCATGCTTGATGCATATGTTCCCCCAACCACGCAGCAAATACAAAACGATCCCAAAAGCCGTACAAATGAGGACAGCAGCAAGGACTTGGCTGTTGTGGTGCCACGTTGATTCCTGTGCTTGTCTTCTCTTGATAGGAGTGCCACGCCACAAAGAGGCAACCGGGGCGTCGCCCACTCACTCTACGGCTTCCAAAGTCGTTTGAAGCATCTGTCCAAAGCGGGGAACGAGAGCTGCACCCCTGTTCCAAGGGCGCAACTTTGGGACACGCCTAATTGAGTTCGTCTCCAAACAGGGCAACTCCAGCATGTCTTTGCGTTCCCTAGAAACCGCCCCTAACAGGCGTCCCAACTCCAAAGGACCCATTTGGTGTGTCTGGAAATTCGGGAGCCGTTGATTACGACGCCCAAAGGGAAACCTTCGGGTCCCCTTCCGCCTGAGCTCTTCCTGGAGCGAGTGGACCTCCTGCTCTGCTGCGGCCAGCTCCGACCTGCGGGCCATGAGCTGGAAGGGTGGACGAAGGAAACCGAACCAAATCTCGTGGCTTGGTGAAAAGTCGCGGCTAACTCTGCAAAAACCTGGAAATCATGAGAAGAAGCGCCCTGGCAACTCAAGTATTGTCCCTTAGTGTGCCAACATGAGGTAGGCCAAGTACATGGTAGATTGGACAGCTACCAGGCTGAAACAAACCAAAGGCGGGAAGCGGCCAGTACCTGTTCATAGCCGCAGCCCAAACAACTGTGAGTGAGGAGCCATGGTTCCTCAACCAGGAACCGACGGATACAGTTAGTCAGTGACTAGCCACATCACATCCTTGATCAGGTCGATGAGCAAGCGACCAGGAGCACTGACCGTGTGCAAAACAAGCAACGTGCCAAACAAATCTCATACATTTGAGGACCCAAGACTCAAGAACACCCCCTGATTCGCGACGTTTCTCAATTGCCTTGAGTGACGTCCCTCATGGACGGCCCTTGGCGTCGGTGTACTGTGCGTGCTTGCTAGATTCTCCCTGTTTCCGCAGCCTGCGTGCCAAATGCGGCGTCGCCTCTGCCCATCAAGTCTTGGTTGGGACCATTTCCTAACAGGCCTCTACAGCTTACTTCCTGAGTGGATTGGCCAAAACAACTGAACTTTTGATTTACCGCTAACATCCGCTAACATTTCCTTCCCAACAAGTGTCACGTCCAGGAACTCGGGAAGTGAGATGGGTGGATTTGCTTTCTCAGCACCGCAGAGTTCTTGAGGCATCAAACACTTCCACGACGGCCCCCAATTTCGG